TGGTTACTTATTCTGTAGCATGACTCTCAGTTTGGACTTTTCTAATATTTTCTCACAATTAAACTCAGGTTATACAGTTTGTAGAAGAATACCACAGGGATGATGCTGCACCTTCTCCATCAATTATATTAGAATGCCATAATGTGTCGTTATCTCTGATTACTGGGGATCTTAACTTTGATCACTGGGTTAAAGTTCCTCCACTGCAAAATGACCCTTTTCCTTGAAAGCATTTTTAAACAACCAATTCCTGGGCTACATCACACATCAGCCAAATCAGATACGCTTGAGGGATGGTACAGGCATTGGGAGGCTTTAAGTGCCCTACTAGTGACTTAATCAATATCTGGAAATGCAAACATATGGCTTAGACAGTGAAGATTAGAATCTTGAAAATCAGCTAGGAGACCATTCCTAAGGCTTCTCATTAAAGAAAAAAAAAATCTAATTCTAAACAAAAGCAAATACATCTGGATTTTGGCATGGACATATGGTAGAGAAATTGAGGAAAAATAGAAATCGCCTGATGGGGAAAGAGATGAATGCGTAGACTGCAGTCCAATTTGAAAAAAAAAAAAAAAATGCAGAATCAGGTGTCATGACACTTGCTTGTAATTCCAGGAATTTGGGAGTGAAAGTGGGCAGATCACTTGAGCCCAGAAGTTTGAGAAAAGCCTGGGATTTCTCCAGCCTGGGTGAAACCCCATCTCTACAGAAACAATCACAAAAAAATTAGCTAGGCATGGTGGCACGTGCCTGTGATTCCAGCTACTCAACAGACTGAGGCAGGAGAATCACTTGAACTCACAAGGTTGGGGTTGCACTCAATTATGATCTCATCACTGCACTTCAGCTTGTGTATGAGAGTGAGACATTCTCTCTATGAATTTAAAAAAAAGAAACAGTAAAAATAATGTTCTAAGGTCAGATCTAGTACAAAAACTGCATCTTATTCTGTGATGTTTAGATGCTATAATTAAAATAGAACAACGAGGTGTTTCCATATGAATAGCTGAACGATTCTATACTTTTAATGCAGTTGCATCATATTCTACTGTGTAGATACAAGGTAATCTGTTTAGCAAGCACCGTGCTGGTGAAAGTCTAGGTTTTTCCCAATGTTTTGCTGTTAAACAAATAATAGAGTGAATAACCCTGATTAGGTGTCATTTTTCATGACTGGTAATGTGATAAATTTTTCCCAGTAAAGTTTGGGAGGAAAAATATGTAATTTTGACATGCATTAAGAAATTTTACTCTACAAGGTTTGTACATATTTTTATGCTCCAAGAAAAGTAGGGGAGGGTAATATCACCTCAGTTGCTCTCACACAAATGTCCTGAGTGACAGGAACTTTAGGGACACAGGCACATGGCCATATCCCTGGTGCCCACACAGGGCAGTGGCATCTGGATCCTGAGAAGCTCCAGGAAATGTTAGGATGCTCTCTAGAGGACACCCTGCTAAGGATCAGAAAGGGGTCAAGGACGTCCAGAGATTACAACAGGTCTTAAACTAAGGGAAAGTTCAAGCGGAGGGCACTAAGTTTCAAGGAGCAAGCTGATGTGAGAAAGTGGTAGAGACTGATGGAAGGAGAAGGTAAAAAGCTCCAGGAAGCTAGGGGAGGCACACCAGGGCTCTCCACTCAATCTCAGCATTGAACTTTGTAGTGGTCATGCTGATGGGGCTCTGTGAGCTCTAGAATGTTCAGCACTATCTGGGGACTCTACGCGCTCAAGGCCAGCAGGACTCCCTCCCCCAGCTCTGACAACCAGCAATGTCTCCAGACTTTGCCAAATGCTTTTCCGAATGAAAAAATTGCCCCTGGTGGAAGCATTAATCTACACAAATATATAAAAGCAAAACACTAAAGCTCATCACCTCTTGGTAGCAGAATTACAAGTGTGAGAGGGGTAAAATGGAGGTCTTCAATATCTATTGAAATGACTTTTACTTAATCAGCAATTTGATGTCCCAGAAGGCATGTTTAGAGGTGATGCCACAGGGCTGCCTGTACCTCAGAGTAGAAAGGGTATGGGTTATCCACGGGTCTGTAACCATAAACTGGAAATGTCTGTAACTGTGAAAGGGAATGACACCCACTGGGTTACATTAAAAAATTGATGTAGGGAATTCTGTAGATATTGCGAGAAAAAAATACACAATGTAAACCCAAACACCATTCTGATTCTCTCACCATCTTAGGGCCATCTTGTCTATCTATGAATGGTAGCATAGGGATTTTTGTATATTTTCAAAATTGTATACTGTTGGATCATTTTTAAAATAGGAATAAATCCCAATCTGGACCAAGTAACTGGACACTGCTGGAGTCTCACTTTTGCCCAGGAGAGCTGACAACATCCTGCTCCCCCTGGCCTGGACACTGTCTGGCTCAGGGGCCTAAATGCTCTCCTATTATGGAGAAAGAAGATATTTTGAACATTCTCATCATTCACCCATTCGCCTCTCACATCCGTTGACCTCTCAAACCTCTTCTGCACTCCTGGATTTCATTCTCAATTTACTGAGCACCTTTTCTGTCCCTCATCCATTCCAACATGTGGTGGGTCCAGGTGGTGGATTCTGTCCACGATTTTATAAAAAACAAACAAACAAAAAAACCCCAAAAAACAAACAAACAAAAAAACAATAAAAAAGACTTTCAAAATTCCTTTGCCTGACACCTCCTTAAACTGACCTCCACCTTCAGCACCATGATCATACCGGCAGAATTTGGACACTTTTTCTGGTAGTCAGATGCTTTCCATCTCTCATTAGGAAATGTGACTCTCTCTACGCTGCATAAAGATTTCCCAGTAGAAATGAACAAAGAGATACTGCCTGTGTGTTCCCGAAGGATATGGTTTCTATAAGAACATGTGAAAGCTGCAATTATAGAAAAGACCACCTAAAACATACATTATGTAGATGATTCTCACCATTCCTTTGAGAGATACATTGTAAAACATTACATTAACAATTATTCTAGAAAAATAAAGCGTGCATACTGTTTTCTTTTTTTATTTTTTATTTTTTATTTTTTTATTATTATACTTTAAGTTCTAGGGTACATGCGGATAACGTGCAGGTTTGTTACATATGTATACTTGTGCCATGTTGGTGTGCTGCACCCATCAACTCGTCATTTACATCAGGTATAACTCCAATGCAATCCCTCCCCCCTCCCCCCCCCATGATAGGCCCCGGTGTATGATGTTCCCCTTCCCGAGTCCAAGTGATCTCATTGTTCAGTTCCCACCTATGAGTGAGAACATGCGGTGTTTGGTTTTCTGTTCTTGCCATAGTTTCCTGAGAATGATGGTTTCCAGCTGCATCCATGTCCCTACAAAGGACACGAACTCATCCTTTTTTAAGGCTACCAAGGTGAGCAAGGCCTGCCTCTGATGTGAGGCAAATAAATTGACACCTTAAAAAATGAATGCCAAGGCAGCATGACACTATGAGCACTCATGATATCCAGGACACCAGAAGGGTGTATTATTGCTCTTTGATCCCAGAACAGAACTCAACCCCACCCGCCTTCTCAGGTGTGAACAACGTCCACGGAGTAAGTCGGGATGAATCTCTCCAGCTCTGAACCCCTGCTGTGTCCCAGGCACGCGGCGCCACACTGTGCGCTTTGCCCTCGTGACCTCCCTCCATCTTCATCAACTCTTTCTGTCACTGCTCCCTAAATGCCCACCCCTGCTCCATCTGTCCTGTACTCTGGGGCATCCTAGGCCAAGCCTAGCGCTGACACAGAACAGCGGCTGCCTGAGGGCTCACAGCCTCCCCGGGAATCAGTCAGGCACCCTGTGACCTGCCTGCCCACTGCAACCCGTAGGGCTCAGAGCCCATGTGATGGTCAGACAAGGCACCATCCAGAATGTGGCCACCTACCCCTGGCTGTCCCTTGGGAAGACAGACTTCTCCTGTGTCCCTGCCAGGAGAAGGGGGTATTATTGCTTGTTGCGCCCAGAACACAACACACTCCCCAACCGCCCTCTCAGGTGTGAGCAGCGTCCCTCCAGACAGGCTCTCTGTCGACTGCCTGTTCCTCTTCTACAGAGAGCAGCTTGGCCAGGTCAAAACCCTCAGGACAGACCCCTGGGTATGTCAGCACATGGAGGGCTGAGCCCATCATGACCACGGAGTAAGTCGGGATGAATCTATCCAGCTCTGAACCCCTGCTCTGTCCCAGGCTCTCCTTCTGGTGTCTCAATGAGCTATGTTCCACAGGATTCCTGGGTAATTCCCCACTTCCTCCTGCAGCACCGCAAGGAAGGTGTAATCACAGGACAATCAGCTGGGCAGAGAAGAGAGGATACCAAAGATGGTCAGGAAGAAAGGAGAAACCCTGAACCCCAGCTCAGCCACCAGTCCCCAGGGAGCAATAGAGTGACTGAGAACTGTCCTTTGACCATGGGACTCACAGCCCCCACTGAGCAACCAGCACAGGCCTCTCCTCCCAAAAGGCATGAGAGATTCACCCTGCACACCTCCAGAAAGGACAGTCTCCTCTGGGACACCAAGATCCTGAATGTCCATCCTTGGAAGCTGCAGCCAAGCTAGACACAATTAGAGAAAGGAAGGGTCTCTGTCACCAGGCAACACACAGCTCACCCACAGCACAATGGGGTGTCCCTGTGACAGGGACTTGGCGCAGCTCCAGCCTCCTGCACTGAAGGGGAGAGCCAGATGGGGATGAAAGAGGGCAAAGAGGAAGAAAGTGCACACTGACCCAGAACCATGGAGACAGCAGGAGGCTGAGGCCCAGGACTGTGCTTGCCCAACCTACAGGGTATGTGTGTGACTGTGTGTGTCCATGTGCATCTCTTTTGTGTGTATGTTTGTGTTTCTGCACATAGTGTGTGCCAAGGTTTGGTGACAGAATCACTGCTGAAAAAGGCGGAGGCCTCCACAATTCCCAGGGAACTGACACACAGACAAAAGGTAAAAGAGAAGGCGGGACTAGAAGGGAGGAGTGAGAGGGGAAGGGACAGACAGGTGTCCTGGGCACAGACCCCGCCCATGAGCCAGAGAAGTGCTCCTGCCCCGGGAAGAGGCTCAGCACAGAAGGAGGAAGGACAGCACAACTGACAGCCGTGCTCAGAAAGTTTCTGGATCCCCGGCTCATCTCCACAGAGGAGAACACGCAGGCAGCACTGGCCATGGGGCCCCTCTCAGTCCCTCCCTGCACACTGCACATCACCTGGAAGCAGCTCCTGCTCACAGGTGAGGAGAGAACTTCCTGGGAGAGAACAGGAGGAGGAAGCAGAATGATTGGATGGGGTCTCTTGGAAGGATGGGGTTCTAAAAAACAAAAGGAGTCAGCACTTTGGGAGGCTGAGGTGGGTGGATCATGAGGGCAGGAATTCAAGAGCAGTCTGCTCAATACAGTGAAGCCCTGTCTCTACTAAAAATGCAAAAAATTAACCAGGCGTGGTGGTGTGCTCCTGTAATCCTAGCTACTTGGGAGGCTGAGGCAGGACATTTGCATGAACCTGTGAGGCAGAGGTTGCAGTGAGTGTAGATTGCGCCACCGCATGCCAGCCTGGGTGACCATATGAGACTTTGTCTCAAAAAAAAACAAAAACAAAAACAAAAACAAAAAACAGAAAAAAATACAGGAAAGAAGGCTCTGTTGGAGCCTGCATAGGGGAATACATACCAGAGAGGGACACGTGTCAAAACAGGAAAATCACATTGAACTGGAATTGGTAAGAGGTAGGAAAATCTCAAGTGTTCTGTTTTCCTGGTTAATTATCACTGGCCACCACTTTTTGAAAAATGATAATAATAACTATTGTCAGATGACACTTCAAATGAAAATATAAGCAGGGCATGAAACACTGTCCTCAGCCAAAAACCTCAACAATTGGGGAAAGAGAAAAAAAACCACCAGGCATGGAGGACCCTGGGAACTCTCACATTACAGGAGTCTGCCTCCTGTCCGAGGCACTGGGGTGCAACCTAGATCAAAAGTCCTTGTCCTCAGGAAACTCATGCTGTCATGGGAAGCAAGATAGACAGACAAAGAGATCTAGAATGTGAGGTCAGATGTTAACAAGAGCTCCGGAGGGAGCAGAGCAGAAAAAGATCAGAAAGGGAAGACCCAGTGTCTCTGAAGGAGGTGTTAGGAAAGAAGTCTAAGGATGCCCTCATGTGAGTAGGACCTGAGGGCAGTGTGGAGGGAGCCGTGCAGACCCCCGGGGAAGAGGATTCCGAACAGAAAAATGCCAAGGTCAGAAGTGTTGAAGGAATGAGGGTCGTACTGCTGACTTTGACCCAGTGGGACAGTTTGAAATACACACTCAAACACACACACACACAGAAAAGGGGTGTGTGTGTGTGTGTGTTTTCAAGGCTGATGATTGAAGAGATCTTCTCAGGTTCCAGGGCCCCATCTTTTCACCCCAATACATAGGTCTCAATATTGACTGACACCCTCTCCACCTACTAGCATCACTTTTCATCTTTTGGAACCCACCTATCGCGGCCCAAGTCACGATTGAAGCTCATCCAACCGAAGTTTCTGAGGGGAAGGATGTTCTTCTACTTGTCCACAATTTGCCCCAGAATCCTACTGGCTACATCTGGTACAAAGGGCAAATAACGGATAGCCACAATTACATTACATCATATGTAATAGACACTGAAATGATTATATTTGGGCCTGCATACAGTGGACGAGAAACAGTATATTCCAATGCATCCCTGCTGATCCAGAATGTCACCCGGAAGGACACAGGATCCTACACCATACAAATCATAAAGCGAGGTGATACCACTAAAGGAATAACTGGACATTACACCTTATACCGTGAGTGATTCCACATGATCCCTGGGTGTTGGGGGTTGGGGGTCACTTCTACTTTGCACACACAGGATGGCCAGGCTTAACTCTGCCTGTGTCCCTCTCTGCATTATGTCCCATGTTGGGGTTTTGGCATTTAGTGCAGGACACACACAGAGGAGACAAACTACAACAGATCAGAATTCCTTTCCTGCCTCCAGAGCCTGCAGACACTTGCTGCACAGGAAGGACAGTCTGATGGGGGAGGTGCGCAGCAGGAGGAGATCAACCTCAGCCAAGCACTTCATGCCCTCTTCATAAACTTGACCCTGAGAAAGACCCTGGAGAACTGAGTAGGGCTTTGCCTAAGAGGCCCCTTGAGATACTCTCAGAGAAGCTCAGCCCTAGAAACCTCAACCCCAGACCTCTGTCCCTAAATCCTTACTCCAGATAAAGCTGAGGAGTCTGTGCCATGGCTGGGTTGTGGCAGGGCTTACTGGCACCGGTGATTTACCAGCTGTCTGAGGACTGTGTCTCCTGGAGCTGCTCACCAGCCAGGGCTCAGCCCTCAGAGCCTCATCTGGGCAAGGACAGAGCTTTCTTCACCTGAGACTCAGAGTGGAGAGGACAGAAAGACAAGCTTTGGAGGCCATCAGCCAATGGCTTTGTGAGGCTTAGGATACTCCATAGAAAGTCTAATGTCCCCAGAAGCAGAAACAGAAGAGAGAAAATGTACCTGGCAACAGCTTGCCCACAGGGATCTGACCTAAAGGTGCTCTTTCATGGAAGTGAATAATAATAAATGTTGTTTGTGTGAACACCTCCACTGTGCCAAGCATTAGGTCAGGTGACTGTGAAAAATCTATAATTTATTCACAGATAGCATGAAAAGCCACAGTCCATTTCCCATTTAGCTTATTTGAGTGAGAGAAAACCGAGGCACAAGAAGTCACAGTCACTGAACCACAGTCACACAAACACAAAAGGCAGATCAGGGTCACATGAGGTCTGTCTGCAGCCACAGGACCATCCTCTTCTCCACTAGAAGTGACGAATTATTGGGTTCCAAGGACCCATAGTCACTTATTGGCTCAAATCCTCTCTTCTTAGACATCCAAACCTCAGAGGAGTGAGAGCAAATGGTCAGCTGATTAGTCTGTGCTTCAGAACTAAATCACCTGCCTCAACTGTTAGAATCAGTGCAAAATATGTCCACACCTCCCCCACATATCTTAACCCCTATCCCTGAACCTGAAATCCTGTGTTTCCCAAAGTGTCCATGTCACTGGCATGACAAGATAAAGGAGAGGACCTTGTTTTCGTTCCCCACTCACACACTGCAACAGCACAGGCCCAGTGAGAGACACACACTCAGGAGCTCTCACATAACAAATGAAGGAATTGAATGAAGAAATGAATGATCCATAACCTCTTTAGGGACTGGATCGTGGATGCAGAATCCTACGAAGTTCTAGCCACACCTGTCCCTTGTTCTTCACAGGCTGACAAGCATGTTTCATCCCCCCACTATTCTTGCCCCTAATGCCACCCCACCTAATATAACTCTGAAGCTCCTTGGCCACTGGAGGGCTTTCAGGGCTCCCTTGTCCTGGACTGTTGAGCTGGGGCACCTAGTCCCTGTGGTCTCTGAAGTCACTGTAGGCCCCACTGTTCACTGCCATACTGCCTCTGCGTCTCTCTGCTTCTCTGTGTCCCTCATCTTCCTCCCATTTCATTCTAACTGGCAAGCCCTGTCCTGCACAGCTTCTTCCTCCACTTCTTGGCTTTCCCCAGACAATCCTTCTAACTAGGCTGACTGCTCTGTTCCCTTCCTGCTAACACTGTGGCCTGGCCCACCTCCCAGGAAATAGGAAAGGTACAGAAGTCACCTGGAGTTGCCACTCCTGCCAGGCTTCCTCTCGAGCCAATGTCCCCAGGTCACTAAGAGAATGAGCTTCCACTGTATCCCCATCCAGGGCTCTGTCCCTTTGTGAGGCTGTTCTGTGGACAAGACTGTGGGACAGGGATAGGTAGCTCCTCCATCCACTCTTATAATTCCCAAACAAGTTCTTCTGGCCTCCTGCATAAAGAAAACCAATTTATCCCGAGAGTGATTTGCAGTAAAGAAAGATTTTAATGACTCCAAGTCTGCTAAACAGGATGATGGAGGTTTATTATTACTCAAATCAGCCTCCGTAGTGGATCAGGGGTTAGAGATTTTCAAGGATAGTTTCAGGGGCACAGGACTAAAAAATGGGTACTGCTGACTGTTTCAGGATGAAATCATGTGGGCGGAGGGAAATGATCTGTTTCTGCTTGAATCTGCCTCTAGGTGGGGAACACGTGACTGGTTGAGCCATTAGTCATGGGTATGGATGAGGTCAGCTCTTTGCCAGAATGCAAACAATGAGAAACATCTCAAAAGACCAACCTCGGGTTATACAATAGTGATGTTATCTATAGGAGTAATTAGTTACAAATTTTGAAAACTCTGGCCAAGTGACATTTGAGCAGTGTTTATAGAAACTGTGCCTCCATTTTAGCAGAATTCACTTCCCTCCCATAGTCCTACTCTCATGGTCTTTCACCAGTTTTACAAAGGTAATCCCTGGGCAAAAGAAGGGTATTAGTGTTATGGAGGAACTAGTATTATTCTTGCTTCAAAGTTAAGATATAAACTAAATTCCTCCCATGGTTAGCCTGCCGTATGTCCAGGAATGAGTGAGGACAGCCAGCCTGAGACTAGATGCCAGATGGATTCAGCCATGATAGTTTGGTATCACTGTTGTAAACTTTGCACTGACTCACCAGGGTGTCAGTTGTTGGACAGGCCTGCAGTACCCAAAGCCCATGGGCTCATTTCACCCATTTCACTCGTGACTCCATCCTCAATCTACCATGGAGTTCACATTCTCCAGTCACTTCCTAGAAATTTCTGGTTTCCTTTCAGGCATATTACAAGCTTGAAATTTGTCACTCGGTTCTAACAGTAAGTAAAAACCTGACCAAACTCATAAGTCAACAACTCGTTAAAATCCCTAAGAGATTAGCCTGGCACAGTGGTTCACGACAGTAATCCCAGCACTTTGGGAGGCTGAGGCGGGCAGATCATGAGATCAGGAGATCGAGACCATCCTGGCTAACACAGTGAAAGCCAATCTCTACTAAAAATACAAAAAATTAGCCGGGTGTGGTGGCGGGAGACTGTAGTCCCAGCTACTCAGGAGGCTGAGGCAGGAGAATGGGGTGAACCCGGGAGGCGGAGCTTACAGTGAGCCAAGATAGTGCCAGTGCACTCCAGCCTCAGCAACAGAGCGAGACTCCGTCTCAGAAAAAAAAAAAAAAAAGGGCTGTTAGAGAAATGAAGAATGCTTTTGATGCTTCCTGGTAGACTGCACACACCTCAGGAAGGAATCCCTAGCTTGAGGATGTGACAATAGAAACTTCCAAAACTGAAACAGGGAAGTTCAAAAAGAATGGAGGGAAAAAAAGTGGAACAACATATTCCACTTCATATTTAATATTTTGTATTGACAATAGCAATTTTTCAATTTTGTACTTGTGGGACAACTACCGAGGCTGTAACATACACATAATGGGAATACTGATGGTTTCGGGGACCTGTTGGAGGTGGTCAGGTAGCTGCTACCTGATAGTTTTATGGCCTGTGCTACAAACAATTGTTTCATCCTTAGGATGCCATTTTCATAAGTTGGGGTTCTTCATGTGGGGGACACACGAGCTATTGGCTTCTCACTTAGACTCGTCCTAATTCACACAAACTTAAACTCTAGTTGTATTTCCTGAGGTTAACAGAAAATGAAAAAAGCATTTCACATACCTGTTTTGGGCTCCTTCAAATTTTTCCTAACTCTGCACAGAAATTAGAAACAGGGAACTCTTTCTATATTTACTAACATAACACACATCACTTCTTTTAATTTGGCATCATTCGTCTCTTTATGTAATTGACACACTGACCAGTTCTGTCCTTTAAACGGGACTCTCTCTACTTAAGGACTTGCTAATTTCAAGTCACCTTTGGCATCTTTCTTTGAGCATAATGTGATTCTGCTGAATTCACCCCACTCCTAAACCTTAATTGGGTATCAAGAGAAATACTACTATCAGCAATTGATCTTAGATGTTTGGACCATCCGTAACAATTTTCACTTATAACAACCTTCAATGTTTCCTCCAAATTTTGCTGTTGTTGTTGTTACTGGAGTCAGAACATAGCATGAGGTCTAAATTCCTGAGAACTTTTTATGGGAAAATTACAGTATTACAAATTGAGAATCCCAAATCCAGAAATCCAAATTCTGAAATGCTCCAAAATCTAACCCTTCTGACCACTGATGTGATGCTAAAAAGAAGTGCTCACTGGAGCATTTTGGATTTTAAATTTTTCAGATGTGGGATGCTAAACCAGTACATCTACTGCAAATATTCCAAAATTAAAAAGAAGTTAGAAATACAAAACACTTGGTTTTAAGCTTTCTACATAAGGAACACTTTCTCTGTATGAACTATAGGCATGAAGCTGCACAGGAGATCTCTAGATCCTCCTCATCCTGCATAACTGAAACCGCACAGCCACGGAACAATGCCCTATTCCCCCAACCCTAGCTCCTGGAAACTACTATTCTACTCTCTGACTCACTCTGGAATCCACTGAGATAAGGTACATAGAGTAGTCAAACTCATAGAATCAGAGAGTAGAATGTCTAATGAGAGAAAGTATCTGCAAGACTTCTTCCCAAATATTGGTCTAATAGTCATCAAAGACATACGGACCATGAGGGCCAGACTTCCATCATCAGTTCATGCTCGCTCTTTCAACCAGTCAGTTCTGCATTTGCAAATATCCACATGTATTTCTAGAAAGATCCACATGGTCCTCACCTGCCCCCTACAGGGAGAAGGGAGCATCATGAACCCAGAACATGGAACATGGTCTTGGTCCAAAGCTATCAGCTCTTGCCTGTCCCCTTCACTCTTTGTAGGTCATTCCTTGGACTCTGCTCTATCTTTAGAGGTCACTGGCTCAAGTCAGTCACTATGAGACAGCTGGGAAAACTGCCCCAACTTGTAGCTCCACTCCCTGATGACGGAACTGACCTCCAAGCTTGACTCTGGTCTCCCCTGTGTTATTTCTGCTGAAGTACCCAGTCCCAGGCCGGGCTTCCCAGTACCCAAAGGGTTTAAGGACATTGGAAGATCCATCATCCATCTCTAGGATGTCCTTGGAAGGGGAAGCTGCAGAGAAAACATACCTTGGGGGGCAAAATAAGACTGAAACTAAGAAGATTCCAGCACTGCATGCTCCAGATGAGGACCACAGGGTGGGCCAGGCAGGCAGTTGGAGAGGTAGAGACTCAGAGAGGCACCAGGGGCTGTGACTGCTGGTCCCATGATTTCTCATGGCCCAATGTTGCTGCTCAATTCACACTTGGGAAAGTCTGTGCTTCTACCACATAAAGCAGGTAGCCTCACAATCTCTGAGCCCTCAGATTGCCATGCATCTGTCTTGTAACACACACACCTGCCATGGGCTTTTAGGGACTTGGACATGCTGAGTGGTGGGAAATGCCAACTCTGATTGAAAAATGTCTTTGGAGGAATCAAAGGTGCCACACAGGGCAATCTTCTCTCTGTTATCTCCACAGTGGAGACTCCCAAGCCCTCCATCTCCAGCAGCAACTTAAACCCCAGGGAGGCCATGGAGACTGTGATCTTATCCTGTGATCCTGACACTCAGAACGCAAGCTACCTGTGGTGGATAAATGGCCAGGGCCTCCCTATCAGTTCCAGGTTGCAGCTGTCCGAAAACAACAGGACCCTCATTCTATTTGGTGTCACAAAGGATACTGCAGGACCCTATGAATGTGAAGTGAAGAGCCCAGTGAGTTCCAGCCGCAGTGACCCAGTCACCCTGAATCTCATCTGTGAGTATCTTCTGTTCCTCTGTGTGCCAGGCTGCCATCCCAAATACACATGGCCAGAGGCCAGGCCTCCCAGTCCCTCTCAGGTGCAAGTACACAGACCTTTACCCCTGGACATCAAGGCTGGCCATGACTACTAAGGGTAGGCTTAGACTTGATCGACAATGGGAGAGAAGAGGCTGCTCCTGTCATGGTAGACTCAGGGCCCACAGCTTATGATGGAGGAAACAGGTCAATGTCTCAGGGTCCAGATCAGTCAACACAGCAGGGATTTGACCGGGACTTCAGTGTTGTGACTTAGCTCACAGGGTCACTCTGGTCCTTCCACAGACCCGAATTTTCCCTTCCCTCTGACAACATCACCTGTGACTTTATTCTCTTTGCTCCAGATGGTCTGGATACCCCCACCATGTCTTCTTCATACACCTATTACCATACAGGGGAAGTCCCCAAGCTATCCTGCCTCACAGACTCTCACCCACTGCCAGAGCTTTCTTGCCTGATTGATGGGAAGTTCCAGCAATCAGCACAAGTGTTCTTTATCCCCCAAATCACTAAAACATATGGAGGGGTCTATGTCTGTTTCATGCATAACTCAGCCACTAGTGGAACAAATCACATAATCAAGAGGATCATAGTCCCTGGTAAGTGGATCCCTGGAGCATTGCCAATATGTTTTCCAGTGAAGTCTCTCTGGCTATTAGGGAAGCGCCAACTGCCCTCTGCAAAGGGAAAGGGAAAATCAAAAACCCAGGACAGGGAATATGTTTCTGCTCCAAAACCACCAGCTTTTGCCTGTACCCTTCACTCCTTCCACATCATTCTTTAGACTATACAGTAACAATGAACAATCTGAAAGAAAATTAAGAAAAGAATTTCCATTCACATTAACATCAAAAGGAATAAAATATTTTGGAATAAGTTTAACCTAAAAGGTCTACGGGTTATACCTTGAAAACTACAAAACATTACCGTAAGAAATTAAAGACAACATCAATATATGGAAAGACAATTCATTCTCACAGATTGGAAGAATCAATATTGTTAGGAAGACAATATTACTCAAAGTGAGCTGCAGATTGAACGCAAACCCTACCAGAATCCCAGTAACATTTTTTGCAGAATTACAAAAATCTGTCCAAAATTTGACCTGACTGGCTCTTATTGATGACTGCCACAACAGAGACACTGAGGAAAAGATGCAACCATGAAAAGGTGGAAAATTTTGATGACATAGAAAATAGCAATCATTATTTCTCACATCCCAAAGCCTTCAAAAATATACAAGTGCAGCATGGCCAGTATGCAACTGACCAAAAACTAATCACCAAGCAAGAAATATAGTGAGAGAAAAAAAAAAAAGAGCAAGAATGTATTTGGCCTATCACCTCCCACTTTTGCATACTAATCTGATGCTGAAAAGAAATGCTCACTGGAGCATTGTAGATTTTGAATCTGTCAGATTTGGGATGCTAAATCAGTAAGTACGTGACAAATATTTCAGAATCAAAAAATGTCAGAAATTCAAGACACTTATTGCCCTAAGTCTTATGCATAAGAAATACTCAATCTGTGTGAACTGTAGGCATCAAGCTGTACAGCGGATCTCTAGAACCTCCCCGTCTTGCATAACTGAAACTGCACACACATGAACAACTTCTGATTCTCCCCACTCCCAGCTCCTGGCAACCACCAGTCTCTTCTCAGATTCACTCTGGAATCCACTTCCATGTGGTCCCTAGATTAGTCAAACCCATGGAATCGGAGCGTAGAGTGTACAATGAAAGAAAATATTTGCAAAACTTCTCCCAAAATTTGTCTCATATCCATCAAACACACATGGTCCATGAGGACCAGATATCCAGGAGTTAACTCCCACCCTTTCCCCCAGTCAGTTATGCATTTGCAAATGTCCACATGTATTTCTGGAAGGATCCACATAGTCCTCACCTGTCCTCTGCAGAAGGAGAGGAAACATAAAGGACCCAGAACATGGAATGTGGTTCTGCTCCAAAGCCACCAGCTCTTGCCTGTCCCCTTCACTCTTTCTATATCATTCATTGCACTCTGCTCTACCTTTGGAGGTCACTAGCTCAAGAAAGTCATCATGAAACACCTGCAGAAAACTGCCCCACCTTGTGCCTCCACTGCCTGATGACTGAACTGACCTCCAGGCTTGACTCTGGTCTCCCCTGTCTTATTTCTGCTGAAATATCCAGTCCCAGGCCAGGATGCTCAGTATCTTCAGGGTTTCAGGGCAATCAGAAGTGCCATTATTACTCATCTCTAGAATGTCCTTGGAAATGGAAGCTGCAGAGAAATCACAGCTAAGCGGGCAAAGTAGGATGGAATTTGGAAGGGGCCCAGCAGTTGCACATTCCAGGTAAGGAACCCAAGGTGATCCAGTCAGTCAACTGATTAGGGAGAGACTGGGAGGTGTAACAGGGGCTGTGGCTCCCACTGATGTGTCTGTCCATGACCCAACACTGCTGCTCAATTCACACTTGAGAAAGTCTATGCTCCCTAAGACAGAGCAGGCGGCCGCACAGTCTTTGAGCGCTTAGATCATCATGCATCTGTCTTGTGACACACACACCAGCTATTGACTTTCAAGGACTCGGGTGGGCTGAGAGGTGGGAGATGCTAACTCTGATTGAAAGATGCCTGTGGAGGAATCAAAGGTGCCACACAGGACAATCTTCTCTCTGTTATCTGCCCAGGGGAGCTTCCCAAGCCTACATCACCAGCAAGAACTTCAGCCCCATGGAGAATAAGAATGTTGTAGCCTTAACCTGTGAACCTAAGACTCAGGGCTACATCTACATGTGGTAGTTAAATAGTCAGAGACTCCCGGTCAGTCTCAGGCTAGAGCAACCCGGTAAAAACAGGATCCTCATTCTAGCCAATGTCACGAGAAATGACACAGATCCCTATGAATGTGAAATATGGGACCGAGTTTGTAGCATCTGCAGTGACCCAGTCACCCTGGATGTCCTTTGTATCTTTGGTTCCTCTGTGCACCAGGCCACCAGCAAAAATCCAGATGACCAGAGGCCAGGCATCTCAGTCTCTCTCACGTCCAAGTACAGATACTTTTATTTCTGGACACCAGGGCTGGCCATGACTCCCTGCCCTGGGAAAACTTGGCTAGGCACAGCCTTAAGCAAGAATATAAAGGGAGGGACTGCTCTTGTCATGGGAGACTTGGGGTCTACAGCCTGTGATGGGAGAAACACGTGAATACCTCATGCCTCGGCTCAGTGAACACAGAAGGGGTTTGGCTGGGCCTTGAGGGTGTGTCTTGGCTCAGAGGGACACTGGAGTCCCTTTAAGAGATCAGGAGCATCCCCTTTCCTCAGACGACATCACCTGTGGCTTTATTCTCTTTACACCAGATGGTCCACACGACCCCAGCATTTTCTCTCCATTCACCAATTACCGTTCAGGAGAAAACCTCTTCTTGTCCTGCTTCGCGGACTCTAACCCACCGGCAGAGTATACTTGGACGATTAATGGGAAGTTTCTGCAATCAGGACAAGAGCTCTCTATCCCCAAAATTACTACAAAGCATAGCGGGATCTATGGTTGCTCTGCTCGTAACTCAGTCACTGACAGCGAACGTTCCACATTCCAGAAGATCAAAGTCTCTCGTAAGTGGATCGCTGCATCATAGGCAATAGGGTTTTAGGTTTTACTAGCCATACGACACCAGGAAAGTTGTTACACTACTCTAAGCTTCTGTCTTTTCATCGGCAAAATGGAAATAATGTCTACCTGACAGGATTATTTTGTGAATTAAATAAGGTACAGGTAAAGTATTTAGCACAGGGCCTGGCACATAGGACCTGCCCCTCAACAGTACCTATTTCCATATATATATATATAGAAAAAGAGGTAACACATAAAACACTAGGACATGGTTACTGACTACTTGTGGGAGAGAAAGAAAAAAATACTAAGTGCAAACAATCAATCCTAGTATGTTAGTTTTCACCAACTGAGATGTATCCAGGATGGGATTAGACATATAATTAATCAGGGAAGACACATGTGAGGGAATGTGGGGCAGGCATGAAGGTAGTATGGGAGAACCCACAGACCCCTATGCAAAGCTGACTCTTGTGAAAAAGAAAGAGAAAGAGGTTTTAGGTATCAGTGCAGTTCTAAAAGAGTTTTTGCAAGGCTGATGTGGAGTCCTCCAACCAGTCACCCATTAAAGTTAAAGAGAGCCTGACAGAACTAGGCTTGCTTTCATGCCCTTGCTGGGAGCCTGTGGGAAGGGAACTTTCTGTGCAAAGGAGGTGGTGTATTTGAAATGCACTGACCTGGGCCTTCTGTCAATCAGGTCCCTGCCATGGAGACCTGACAGGGTCTCATTCATAGTTGCCACCACAGAGACACTGAGAAAAAGATGCAACCATGAAAAGGTGGAAAGGTGGAAAGTTCTACTGACATAGAAAATAGCGACTAGCCTTTCTCCCATCTGAAAGCTTTTGGAAATATCTGAGTGCAGTACAGAATTGACAGAGGACTGATCAAAAACCTAGAAATATGGTGAGAGGGGATAAAAACTGCAAGAATATAATTATCTCCCATCAACTTTCCAACAGAAGTAATACATTTCTTGAAGAAACATTTATAGAGTACCTCATGTCACATGCTGGTTCCTGAGGTTCACCCCTGTAAAATAACATCATCTCCATTCCTTCTTTTCTTTTCTTTCCATGACAGCTCCTTTAAGAAGAGGACATCTATCCTGGCATTATTCGACATAGCAGCCGTGATGTCATTTCTGTATTTCAGAAAGTCTGGCAGGTATGATGGCCTTTTCTCTTGTCCTGTATCCTGCAGGGCTGACTGCCATGCTTGGGAGAGGGAAAAGACTTATTTGCCTGTATCTGGACTGGATCTCCTCCTTCCTCCACCGAACTCCTGCTTCTCAGCACTAATTCCTTCAGTTCCCTTTCTCCCTGGCCTTTATGCTGCCTGTACCCCAATGCCTTTCATACTTAATTATCTCTGGCTTCTGCTTTTTTGTTGCTCAGATTCAAATGAGAAACACAATTTCATATTGTGAAACCCTTTTCATTATTTTTAACATCTCTCAACAGTGTAATTCTTTCCATTCCCATAAAGCTCAACCACTTCTCAAAGTATTGCTTGACTTCTTATCTCCAGACTTTGAAACCTTCCTTGCATATGACTCTCTCATTACCTTTCTAAAATCTAGTTAATTCACTTAACCAAGAATCTCCACTGTCTAGTCTATTTGGTAAGCTTAAATTGCTTCTATTTACCAATTTTTCTCACTTCCTTTACCTCTACTTCCTAGTATAATTCCTCCGTCCTAATTAGAACTGTCTTCCTACCCATCCCTGCCACTTCACCTATATAGACATAAAATTCTTAGTTTCAAAGCTATGCCTAAAAACAGGGTGAACTCCCCTCTACCATCTTCACTACAGATGTAACCACACCCTTCATCACAAGCAATGTCTGACCTTCTGGAGAACAAAGACTTTAGAATTAGCCTGTGAACCTGAGACTCAGAACAAAACCTATGTGTGCTTGAGACCTTTTCCTGATGACCAATTCACAAGTTCAGAAAAGATACAGAAATGAAGAAGGCAACGTCCCTACCCCAGGGGACATAAAGCCTAAGACAGAAAGTGACACCTGAAAATAATCATGATACCAAAATAGAAAAAAAGTGAAGGCCACAAGAAATCAGAGATATCTGATGGGAAACATAGCTACACATTGGAATCAATGGAAAACATTTTTAAATGTGAATGCTCAAGCCCCACCCATGAGTTCCAGTTTAAAGGTCTGGAGAGGGACCCAGGCATTGGTAATTTTTAAGTCTTCCCTGACACTACTAACATGTAATGAGGATGGAGAACTCTTGTTGTAATAGGTAGAATTTAAAACTAAATCAATGATTTTCAGCTAGAAGAACTAGAATTACCTAAGGACCTTTTTGAACATACATGAGACTATATGTTTTTGGCCCTAACTATTAATGGGCTACACGAAGAACTCAGTAATCCTGTTGGGAAACAGAAGATGAATGGACAAGTCACCTTATGTGATATATTAAAATATATATATAAAGCATTTTCAAATGAGTGATAAGTGATGCTAAACCTTCTCTAAATAATATTTATGGGAATGCTAATAATATGAGTATTCTAGGCTGGGCGCAATGGCTCAGGTCTGTAATCCCAGCACTTTGGGAGGCCGAGGCCGGCAGATCATGAGGTCAGGAGATCGAGACGATCCTGGCCTACACGGTGAAACACCGTCTCTACTAAAAACACAAAAACAAAATTAGCGGGGTGTGATGGGAGGCGCCTGAAGTCCCAGGTACTCCGGAGACTGAGGTAGGAGAATGGCGTGAAGGTGGAAGTTGGAGCTTGCAGTGAGCAGAGATTCTGCCACTGCACTCCAGTCTGGTCGACAGAGCGAGATTCCATCTCAAAAAAAAAATTAAAATATTTTTTAAAAAATGAGTTCTAAAAACTGTATGAAATTTCTGGAAATTGAATATGTTAGCAGTCATAGTGTCATATGCCACAGAAGTAACTAGATTTCTCTGTGAGCTGTGTCTTTACCATAATAAACCTAATAAAATTCTCAGATTTTTAACCATGGTCCTTTTAAATCTTTGTCATTCCCAGACAGTTGCTTTGGTTCTTCCTCGAGGTATTTACAGTCAGCTACAGTACAAAATTGCTTTTTTTCAAGGAGATATATGGAAAAGACTCTGACAACGACTCTTGAGTACAAGTTTCTGATAACTTCAAGATCATACCCCTGGACTCTCTGAGAACTTTCAAAATTTTAACGAACAGGCTGATACTTTCATGAAATTCAAGACAAAGAAGAAAAAACACTTCAGTTTTATTGCACTAAATAATCGAAAGGAAAATGTTTTCATAATTTTTTATTTGAAAATGTGCTGATTCATTGAATGTTTTATTCTCCAGATTTATGAACTTTCTCTTTTAAGCTATTTATACCTTACAGCAATTTGGTAAAGTATACTTTTGTAAACAAAAATGGAAACATTTGTTTTTACTCCCAATCTGAGTGCCTCAGAATTGGGAAACTACTCATAAGTATTCATATGCTTAGGGTAATAAAGTTATTTGCATAAGTTCAGTAAGAATCTACTCTCTTTATCACAGGACACATTTGAAAACATTGGTTATGTTACCAAGGCTTTGACTGGGATGTTGTATTTGACAATATATATAGAATAAACCCATAGGGAATGCAGGCAAAGTCTGAAGTTGGCCTTGGTTTGGCTTCCTAGTCTCAAGAGGTTTTTGAAAGTTTAATCTGAGAGTCTTATAAAACTTCTAACAAAGCAAAGTTTAAAAAGATCCTCTATGGTCGATTGCTACTCTTGCTGCACTTAGGTAAAAAATCTAGGCAAGTTCGGTGAGACTCAACCTATTTTGCAAACAAATTCATCCTACTGGAATTATCATTGACAAAAATAGAGAGCCCTATATAGAGAAAAATTATGTTGAAAAGAAAAACTGTAGTACACCTGTTACCACATTGAACCACTCTTCATTATCTTTGAGTATTTATAATCCACTGGTAGACTGGACTGGACCCTGAATTCTTTTAGTTCTTCCAATTAAATTTTCTCCAATGAAATCATTAAGAACAAGAACAGCTCTGTTCCTGAAGCCATACAAACTAGACAACTCAGTGTAAATTTCATGGGAAAACCCTCGTGTCTGAGGTGTGGGCCACTCAGAGCTCACCAAATGTTGAACACCATCACTTAGAGACACTTAAACTGCAAACCACCACAACAAGTTAATGACTGTACACTGTGGACAGACAGCTTTTCTCAAGATGTCAGAACAAGACTGTCAATCATGATGAGACTCTTACCTCCCTTAATTTGTTCTTGCTTATGCCTTTCTCCTTTGCTTCCCAGAATAATGCTGTACTTAGGATTTCACAAGAAGTAGCTTCTGAGAGTAAGTTAACAGTGTCAGATATATCATGTCAAAAACACTATTTTTAAAGATGGAGTTTCTCTCTTGTTGCCCACACTGCAGTGCAATGGCACAATCTTGGCCCACTACAACATTCGCCTCCTGGGTTCAAATGATTCTCCTGCTTCAGCCTCCCTAGGAGCTGGAATTATAGGCATGTGCAACCATATCAGGCTAACAGTATTTTTAGTAGAGACGGGGTTTCTACATGTTGGTCAGGCTGGTCTCAAATTTCCGACCTCAGGTGATCCACACGCCTCGGCTTCCCACAGTACTGGGATTACAGGTACAAGCCACTGCAAGTGGCTCACACATTTTTACATAACAAGAGATCCTTTAGTCCACCCAAAGGCTGAAGTTAGCTGCATCTTTAACACAACTTTTTCCTCAAATGTATGGAGCTTTTTTAGGCTTCTACTTCTATACTTGCCTATTCTTCTCACTCCCTGTTTTAATTTAACATAGACATGCAATGCTAGAAAATAGAATTGCTCTCTACCAGCTAAACAGGGGGGAGCCTGTGCAGTTTCTGACACTTCTTATTGTACATGGATAAATACATTGGGTATTATAGAGACTCAGTTGTAAAAATCAACAAATGTGCTGCCTGGTTAAAATGATTAGACTCTTTTGGCTTCTTCTTTGACCTATTCTATTGTAGTTGGTT